TGTCCAGTTACTAACCAAATTGTAAAAAAATAAATTTTTCTTATCATTCAAACTAATTAAAAATAAAAATAAAATTATAATAGTCTAAACTAAATAGATAAAAAAAAATCTAGTAGTTCAAACTAATTATAAAAATAAATTAAGAAAGAAAATAGAGAAAGTATAATCTGTAAAAAAAATGGAGAAAAAATAAAAAATTAATTAAAAGAAATGTGAATAATAAAACAAAAGATATTGTATAAATTGAAAAACAAAAAAAAATAGAAATGATGCAAATCTCAATTTAGAAGTTTAAGATATGCACAATCATACCAAATAAACAAAAAAAAATTATATAGATTTTTATTTTGTCAACATAATTATAGAATATCATAAAGAAATTGAAAATCTTCTACCTTGACAGTATTGGTACTATTCAAAGTTAAAAAAGAATGTATACAATGAAAATTTATACATATTAAAAATACTAATAATGTATTTGTTATTAAGATCCAAGAGTGATTAAGGTTTGACTTAGTATAGATCTCTATGAGAAAAAAACTTATGACATCAATGACATACATTTATCAATCGTGAATTTATCTATGATACTTGATAAAACTATTTATAAACTATTATATAGATTTTTATGAAATAATTCATAGGATTTTTTTTAATTTAACTCTGTAATATTTGAATTGTTTTTACGTTTTTATCACATAATTAATATATATATTCATTATAGGTAAGAATATTTTTCACTTATTTATATATATGGGCTGCATAAAATGAATTACGACATGAGAATTATGATATAAATTAATCTCTAATGATTTAAGATCCATCACTACAACAAAACAAGCCAATTTCCCACGGTATTTCGGACGGATAATAATCCGTTGGAAATTACGGACGAAAATTGGACAGATTTCCGACCGAATTCCAAGGACCAATAATCCGTTGAACATCGGTGGGACTTTTCCGACCGACAGTATCTCGGTAGGAAATCTGTTGGAAATTTGGTTGAAAATCCGTGAGAAATGCTTTCCGTCAAAAATCCGTCCGAAAAATATAAATTTGGCCTAAATTTTCGAGAAAGCGGGAAAATAATCCTCTATATATTAATAGAGGAGACACTAGGTGAAAATCCTATGTGTCATTCTAAGAGGGTTTTAAGGAATTTATTTCCTAATAAAAATTATTAAAAATTCTTAATAACAAATATATGGAAATCCCCTTCCTATTAGAACCAAAGTAGTATTATTTAACTCGCTTAGGTGTTTTAATTTCATTTGATTAAAACTATGACATGTCTTGAAAAATTATGANATGTCTTTGGAGAAATGATGACATGGCTTAAGTTAACTAAATATACTTTTCTTAATTAAATTATCATTAGTGTTTAAAAATATTAAAGTGTCGAAACAATGTTTGGAGAATATTTAAATCAAATGGAAATAATATTAAGGTTTTTAACAATTTTTTTTTNAAAAAGGGTTTGCTATTTGTTAAAATCTGTTCAGAACAAACGAATATTTCACAAAAAAAAAGATTTTTTATCAACTATTTACTTGGTATGTTTATCAAGCAATCGAACAATCACATCTTTAAGTTGTACTTGTACCAGAATTACTTTGAATCTTCAAATTCCAGTAGTCCAAATTTTTAAATCATTGTATTTTTTTTTAAACATAATTTGTTAATAATATATATGTAATATCTTATAAATTCAAGTTAAACTACTAAACACCTTTTACAGGATGTCATATATATTATTACATGCATGATATTACATAACACCTTTTACAGGATGTCAATCAAAGACCTACGTTTATCAATTTTGACGGAAGGAAAGGAAGATTTTTCATGCATGGTGTGGATGAATTTTTTTTATATAAATAATACAGTTGTGTTTCTACTATATTTATCCCGGATTTAATTATTCCAAT